TTCCAAGATGAAGAGGAAGCATTGGTGAGCACCCTCTGGGTTCATCCATTTAACCAATTACAGATCCACCTCTCCGTAGTTTTGCCTAGCCCACATTGGACTAGTTTCCTTGTCAGAAGGTCATGGGGGACCTTTTCGAAGGCCTTACTGAAATCCAGGTATGCTACATCCACGGCATTCCCCTCATTTACCCAGCTTGTAACTCTATCGAAAAAAGAGATCAGATTAGTCTGGCATGACTTGTTTTTGATAAATCCATGTTGACTATTAGCAATGACCGCATTTGTTTCTAAGTGTTTGCAGACCACTTCCTTAACAATCTTTTCCAGAATCTTGCCTGGTATTGACGTGAGGCTGACCGGACGGTAGTTGTTTGGGTCATCCTTTTTTCCCTTCTTGAAGATTGGGACCACATTGGCCCTCCTCCAATCTGCTGGAACTTCTCCTGTTCTCCAAGAACTCTCAAAGATGGTTGCCAATGGTTCCGAAATGACTTCCGCTAGTTCCTTCAATACTCCTGGGTGTAGTTGATTTTCTTCATTAGTAAATGTTGCCTTCTTGACCCCACTACTGCTTAGCCAACATGTGCCCCAATTTTCATCTGTGAAATGTTGTAGGGTATACTTCAAAGATAATCAGATCTCATCTGATCTTGGAAGTTCATTTGGGTCTGTCCTGGTTAGGACTTGGATGGAATTCAAGTACCAGCAATGAATATTAGATGCTGTGGTCTATATTTCAAAAGAACTATGGATATTTTCTGCCTAAGAAAATTCTTTGGGATCCATGGAATTATTAGACAGCCCAACAAAAATGGTTCTTGGTGTCTTGGTTTTCTGACCTGTTCCTGGAGTTATTTCGGGCACTGATTCAGAAAATTCAATTGAATATACCACGTCAGCTCTAGTTTCTCAGATATGGTTATCATGATTTTCTATGGACAGGCAGATAGCAACTGATAGATGGCATTTATTACAGCATGTATCTCACAAACTAGAGCTGACAGGGGGAAACTGGTGCCATTTTTGGAATCAGCAGGTCAAACAGACCCAAAACAGGGCTAACATTTGAAGCATCGATATATGTGTTAGCCAGAGACATGAAAGCACATACACATCAGGCCTGGGGTAAAAGAAACATCCTGCTATTGTTTCTCTTTTTCCTCTTCCTCTTCATTTATACGGTGCTCTTTCCCAGAGTAATGGGATTCAGGGTAATTTTCAAATTATTATATAAATTAAAATGCATATAGAAACAGGCAACAATATACATAAACATTCTTCTAAAATACAGATGAGCAGAATTATGGAAAAATCATTCAGACAGAAGATATGCATCAACAAGACAGCACATTCTTACAATCCCACTGCAGTTAATTTCTGAAAGCTGATTGGAACAGAAACGTTTTCACTTACAGGTTGAACAGGTTGCAGGGAGCCATCTTAGCATTATCTTAGCTGCCAACATCTGAGAGTAGCCGCTGCGAGAGCCCTCTCCCTTATTCCCACCAAATGTGCCAGGGAAGGTGGTGGGATTGAAAGAAAAGCTTCTCCCAAAGATCTTAGAGTTCAGGTAGGATGGTCCATGAATAGTCTTCTGGCAGTCTTGCTCCAAATCATATAGGACTATAGAGGTAATCACCAACACTTTAAATTGTGCTGGAGATAACCTATAAAGTCCTACACAACTTGGGCAGCCAGTGGACCTGGAAATGGATGGGCTGGTGGTGGAGCTGTTGCAACCAGGGAGTTGTGTGCTTCCAATGGCCAGCCCAGTTAATAATTGAACTATGTTGCATTTCATTTTTGAATAAGGTTTTTGTCAGTGAGGAACTGGGACCCCCAGATAGATTTGTGGGACACCAAAACGATCTCTAATGAACATGCACGTCCTGTGGGTTGTACTTTGTCTAGTCCTGTTCTATGTAATCTCTCCAGATAATTCTGCTTCTTCTCATAGCACTCATGGATTTTTAAGGGCAGATTACTCATTTCCAAGATTACTTACAGCTGCCTCATCTTCTGTTCAGTTCCACGTGCTGTTCTCTACCGTGTCTACTGGAGGATGTCCTGCCAGCTTGTATGCTGATCAAAACAAGGGCATCTGCTTTTCCATCCAATCATTCTCTCCTGCTACATTTCATTGATTAATTTGGACTAGTAGAGATCAGCCTGTGGGATCGTCACCATATTCACTGGGTCCATTGATGTACCAAGGCTGACACCTCTGTCTGTTTGGAAGCTGCCTCAGTGAAATGAAAATAGACACAGCATTTATTTTCAACAGGTATTGTTGGAAGGATGAAATCACTGATTTCCTCTGAGCAATCTCTCTTCTCTGCCCTTGTCAGTTTAGTTCTTTTCAATGAAGCACCTTTAGCCATATCGTGGGCTAATGTTCCAAATAACATTATCCTGCATTTTATTTCCTATACCCTAACTCATAGGTTTAGGTGACCTAACTGTAGCTTAGGCAGATTCTAGGCATGCCACACAGTGCTTGTTTGGACCACTACCTGCCCAAAGTTTCAAGTGTTCATTTGAAGAAGTAAAAAGGCTCTAGTCCTTGTAG